AGATACACAGATATCTTGGAATGACTTTGGATTTCTTGGTGAAAGGAAAACTCAAGATCCGCATGGACGACTATGTCAAGAACATGTTGGAAGATTTTCCTATCAAGTTCAACAAGGATTCAAAGCAAGAAACACCAGCTGGTAACGATTTACTGGAGGCTGGGAAAGGAAAGTTACTCAATGCTGAGTACCGTCAGATCTTTCATACTACTGTTGCAAGGGGGCTTTATGTCTCTAAGAGAGCTCGTTTGGATATACATCCAACGATTACTATTCTTGCCTTGAGAGTTCGAGAACCCACAGAGTCTGATCGGAAGAAGTGTGTTCGCATGATGCGACATTTGTATTGTGCATTGTTGTATCACCTGACACTTTCCGCAGAATCACAACGAGTCATGAAATGGATGATAGACGCATCATTTGCGGTGCATCCAGATTTCAAGAGCCATACTGGTGGCACTCTGTCCTTTGGAGGAGGTGCAGCTCAAGTGATGTCAAAGAAACAAAAACTAAACAGCAGAAGCAGTATGGAAGCGGAACTGATTGCTGTTGACAATGTTGTCACAATGATACTATGGACAAAGTTGTTCATGGAGTGGCAAGGGTATCCGATCAAGAAGAATATCTTGTATCAGGATAACAAAAGCGCGATTCCACTGGAAGAGAATGGTCGCAAGAGCGCGGGCAAAAGAAGCTGAGCTATCACAGATCAAGTTGAGAAAGGAAATGTTAAGATCGAATACTGTCCAACTGACAATATGATTGCGGATTTCATGACCAAACCATGGATTGCTAGGTGAGAAATTTCGCAAGTTCAGAGATCTGATTCTTGGTCCACAGGACTAGGTCAGACAAGTATGTATATGTTCAAATGAAAATACGACACAAAATAAAAAGGGAATGAGAGCATGTCCCATTGCTGCCAATGGTGATTGTCACAATGGCAGGAGTGTGTTGGGATATGACGAAATATGAGTTTTTACGTTCCAAGAAAAACTATTCAAGTACGATTTTTGACACACACGATTGCATTTTTTAATCGTGATGTCAGCAATTCGACGATGCAAATGAAACATGTTCTCCTGCCGAGCGAAGTGGGTGCCTCGTCGGAAAACCAAAATAAGAGATGCCAAGCACTAGCAGTCAAAAAGATGGGCCAACTTCGCTACAATGTTTAGCATCCAGTTCGTCATGTTCAGACTTGTGATATTGGGCAGTTGGGATTCCGTGCCGGTCAAGATGGCGACAGCCCTCCACAATATCTTCAGATGATACAGGGACTTGTTCGAGGATATCCTTTGGATTTTTGGCCAGATGTTCCATGTATGCGAAGTGTTGGTTGCAATTGGTAGTGGATATCCGACACCGTTTTCGCCCATGAATTGATGAGATGTCGTTTTCGACTATTATTGTACAGTACCAGTAAATACAGTAATCCGAAATCTTTTCTTTTAGAAACATACTTAGAAAATATACGTATGTCTATTGCTGTTGCTCTGTAATTCAATTTGTGAAACAACTTTGATCACGGAGGCTGAAACTCAGCGCATTCTGGGTATGCCTGTCTCATCTTCGAAAACCACTTCTTGTCTATTTCAACTCTCCAGATTCAACGATGGTAACTTTAGCTTTTGGTTGTCCACTATTACTTCCAACACTCTCGATAGACTTAACCAATTCTTCACCCTCCAATACTTTGCCAAAAACGACGTGGCGGCCGTCCAACCACGGAGTCTTCACCTTAGATGACAGTAAAGCAACGCTGGGTGAGACAAAATGGCAAATATATTCACCAAACCAGCGCGAGGTTGCAATCATACCGTGGTAATAAAGAACTGCGACCCATTGGTGTTTGGTCCTTTTGAAACGGAGTTGTATTATTCCCGTGATCCAGGGAGCGGGAAGTGATTTTTAAAAAAGCGTGAGTATTCCATTAAAGGAATGAAATTACAACAGCTGAACCATTCTACGCACCCGCATTTGCCTACATGGTATAAAACAATCCATTCCAACGTTAGGAGCAAAAAACGATCAACATTCCAATTCGAAAAAGACAAGAAGAAGACGCAATACAAATGAAACCCGTCATGTGAGGAGAGCACAAAATGGCGTGTCTGAGCGCCAATGCTGATTCCAACCTACCATGGACAAGTACCTAAGAAGCATCGGGTGAGCTTTGGTTTTCAGACAGCGCATATATATGCCAATCTTAGACTCACATCGGCGCCTCGTGCTTCAACTTGAAATTTTCGTCTTCAAACTTTGCTCCATAAATGCTTTCTCCTCCACGTCCTGAGATCAAAATCGAGTGAGACAACAAAATCATTCTTCTCTAAAACACTTTCGAAACTTTGAAACATTGTGTTCGCACCATTGAATTGAGTAAAGTCTGGACACACAGCAGATAAAGTGGGAGTCAGTGCACGTAAATTAGAGATATATGAAAAGCAATATCAACAATCATACTTACCACCTATTATATATTTAGGGCCAACGATCAGACACCATCGAATAGAATCCATTGTGACTTTTCACACGTAATACGTACCGCCTTAGTGACAATAAAATCAAACATAGTTAGATCCCACATGGATCAATTTTATCTATAGATTAGCAAGAGAGAATAACTAGTGCGACAAACTCACCCTATCAGCATCAGCATCAGAAGGACGACAGGTTGATTTTTATTCAACAAGAGACAGCTACATCAGATTCGCTGAATGCGGCTGAAAATGACGATTTGCATCCAATGCGGACGACTTACCTGGATCTATTTCCGTAAAAACATAGAGTATGACAGCGGAAAGAACAAAGGTGAGCTAAACCTGATTCAATATACTCCCAAAGAAGCTGGGTTCAGAGACAACTGATCTCAATGCGCACCCTATTAGACCAGAGAGAGAGAAATGTCATTGTTAGATACGAAATATACGCAAGTCAAAGTGGGGCGAGAGAGACTCACATGAACGACGGAATCACGCGGTGGAAGATCGAGCCCTTGTAGTGCAAAGGCTTTCCGGACGCCCCGACTCCTTTCTCTCCTGTGCAAAGTGCCCTGAAATTCTCGACCGTCTATATTGGAGAAGTATTGACAAAAATGTAAAAAAGGTCAATACATATGGAGAGATGAGCTGAACGCAGTCATTTTATTTCCTTTCTTCGTTGCCACAATCTTACTTTCGGCACCTCTTCACCAAACAAACCCATCGTGATGCGCCCAGATTCACCACCTTCAACTTCGACATCAAAGAACACCTTGTTTGTCACTTTTTGGCCAGTGGCCAAAGCCATGAACGCGAGAAGTAGTGCACAAACAATCTTCATCTTCCTGTACTACACAGTATGTCTTTTATGAAAACTGATGCGAGATCTGTTTGGATATTGGGTTTATTTGAGTGAGTCGACTCAATTTGAAAATTCCATGCGCTTCCAAAGGTTTTTATTTTATGCTGGTGGAGCAGTTTATACTAGATCCCCCGGGGAGAAAAGAAGGGGAGAGAGGAAGAAGAAAAGAAAAAACGAAGAGAGAAGAAAAGAGGAGAAAGCAATAGGATTGCAATGAAGGGGCTCAACAACACAGTGCTGGTTTCATGCATGGCGTCGCAAGATGACATACGCTATTATCCTGGCGTTAGCCAGGATTTAGACGGATTTAGAACGAGGTAACAATCCATGAATGTTTGATGTGATAATCGATGCGTCTGAACCGCCTGCAGTATTGAAATGATGTCCAAGCACCTCTAAGCCAATAACAATATCTACTGTCCCTACATATCGAAGAATAGATTGAGACTCGGAGGCTCATCGCGCCGCGATTTTTGGTGTCTCGAATACTTCAAGATTGGAAACATGAAAGTGATGTCAGTGTATATAAAAAGAGAGCACAGCCCGATCTTGTGTCGACAACAAACCATTTGGAAGGAAGGTGAATCAAGGCATGAAATAATGCTCGACTCTAGCAGCTGATATTATTGCTATGATACTATTGAAACGCTTACTTATGCGAGGCTTGCGAGAACCAGCCAGTATTGGATTCGATAGACAATCGGCGGTGTCCTCAATGGACTCAATATTTAGGGAACCAAGCAAGATGGGTAAGGGCCACTACAAAGCCCGATTTCATCGCAAAGAGAGTAAATACATGTTCTACGATTGAAGGCATGCAACAATCAACTGGTTTTGAGTAAGATTCACAGGCGAAAACATAGACAGAAACCTTTCATGATTCCTGTTGTTGGCCAAAGCCGCGATAGGAAAGTCTGTTACAGTATAGTCATATATGATGCTTTCAGATTCGGGTATTGTACATTCTACTCTGATGGCAATACAATCAACCTTTTTGCACCCGTTTGAGACAATGACTTGATTCCAAAGGTGAAGAGAATACTACCCACTACCTACCTCTTCCGGTATCAGCAGTTGATTTCAATCTGCCATCAGAGAGGAAGACTGAACGATACTCGATAATGCATAGTAGTACTCTATCTGCAAGATTGAAAAGTCAGGGTCTATTGTTTGATCTATCTATTACCTCATGTAGTACCAGTCAATTTCAGTTGACAACCTACCACCCCGTTCTTCAGGGCAGCTAGAAGTGATCCTAGGGGATCTACAGCGCTTCCTCATGATCGAGGGCTAAGGTTGTTCCTTAAGACAAGATGTTTAGCTGTTTGATAAGACAAAGAGAAACTGCTATGGCCGTATGGAGCTTGGACCTAACATCCCCCTAACATCATTTGAAGTCTGTGGAGAGTACTAATTTAGTGTGGAAGAGAGTTAGTCGAATCTATCATTAGAGATAGAGAGCTGTGATTGGCTCATACGACTAATAATAGACTCATCTTTAGTGAATCGACTAACTCTTATTGGCTAAAAATTCACTAAAGACCCCACCACCATAAAACAAGCCTTCTGGAGGTTTTTATTTTATGCTGGTGGAGCAGTTTATACTAGATCCCCCGGGGAGAAAAGAAGGGGAGAGAGGAAGAAGAAAAGAAAAAACGAAGAGAAGAAAATAGAGGAGAAAGCAATAGGATTGCAATGAAGGGGCTCAACAACACAGTGCTGGTTTCATGCATGGCGTCGCAAGATGACATACGCGATTTAGACGGATTTAGAACGAGGTAACAATCCATGAATGTTTGATGTGATAATCGATGCGTCTGAACCGCCTGCAGTATTGAAATGATGTCCAAGCACCTCTAAGCCAATAACAATATCTACTGTCCCTACATATCGAAGAATAGATTGAGACTCGGAGGCTCATCGCGCCGCGATTTTTGGTGTCTCGAATACTTCAAGATTGGAAACATGAAAGTGATGTCAGTGTATATAAAAAGAGAGCACAGCCCGATCTTGTGTCGACAACAAACCATTTGGAAGGAAGGTGAATCAAGGCATGAAATAATGCTCGACTCTAGCAGCTGATATTATTGCTATGATACTATTGAAACGCTTACTTATGCGAGGCTTGCGAGAACCAGCCAGTATTGGATTCGATAGACAATCGGCGGTGTCCTCAATGGACTCAATATTTAGGGAACCAAGCAAGATGGGTAAGGGCCACTACAAAGCCCGATTTCATCGCAAAGAGAGTAAATACATGTTCTACGATTGAAGGCATGCAACAATCAACTGGTTTTGAGTAAGATTCACAGGCGAAAACATAGACAGAAACCTTTCATGATTCCTGTTGTTGGCCAAAGCCGCGATAGGAAAGTCTGTTACAGTATAGTCATATATGATGCTTTCAGATTCGGGTATTGTACATTCTACTCTGATGGCAATACAATCAACCTTTTTGCACCCGTTTGAGACAATGACTTGATTCCAAAGGTGAAGAGAATACTACCCACTACCTACCTCTTCCGGTATCAGCAGTTGATTTCAATCTGCCATCAGAGAGGAAGACTGAACGATACTCGATAATGCATAGTAGTACTCTATCTGCAAGATTGAAAAGTCAGGGTCTATTGTTTGATCTATCTATTACCTCATGTAGTACCAGTCAATTTCAGTTGACAACCTACCACCCCGTTCTTCAGGGCAGCTAGAAGTGATCCTAGGGGATCTACAGCGCTTCCTCATGATCGAGGGCTAAGGTTGTTCCTTAAGACAAGATGTTTAGCTGTTTGATAAGACAAAGAGAAACTGCTATGGCCGTATGGAGCTTGGACCTAACATCCCCCTAACATCATTTGAAGTCTGTGGAGAGTACTAATTTAGTGTGGAAGAGAGTTAGTCGAATCTATCATTAGAGATAGAGAGCTGTGATTGGCTCATACGACTAATAATAGACTCATCTTTAGTGAATCGACTAACTCTTATTGGCTAAAAATTCACTAAAGACCCCACCACCATAAAACAAGAACCCTTCCAAACTCTGTAGCAGTATCTCTTGGTAGTATGATGTAGTCGTGTTCTTTGATCGGCAAGACGGGAGACGTATGGGCGGGCGTTTCAAGCTCTTCCTTAGTCTCAATTTCCGTCACGTCGATGATGATTGATCGGCAAGACGGGAGACGTATGGGCGTTTCTAGCTCTTCCTTAGTCTCAATTTCCGTCGTGTCGATTACGGCGCGTCGCTTCAGTGAAGTACACGGTTGGCGGACGGAGCGAAGAGTGTCGACGAAGAGGGCGGAAGATTGGAGAAGACATTGTTCGCAATGGGAGCTTGTGGGATGATGGAGGCGATAGAAGGAGTTTAGCTGCTCGGTCAAGACCGTCAGCTTTTTTGCTTTTTCCCGCCCTCACCACCCTCTCTCTCATTTGCACCATAGCTCGGTACCCCATTTGGTCCGGGTCTGTCTGTCAATCCTATTGATTGTCCCTTTTCGAATCCTATGATTCGACCTCGGTGCAAACCAGTCACTAACTTAGTACCTCGCTACTGTGCCAAACCTACTCGCTTCTCGTATGTAGCATCAGGCTTTTGCCACAGTTTCCATGGTAGCATACGTGCGCGATCTCTCCAGACAAAGACTACATCATGCGATTCAAGCCCAGGAGTGGAGGCGGCGCCGGGTAATCTTCGATTATTGAGTCGCGCCGCTTAGCGCTTGACTCCTTTTAGTTTCCAATAGGGTTGGAAAACCAAAATATAGAACTCAATACCCTTGTGCCGTTGGGTCTTCGTGTAGTCGGCGACAGTGATGGGTATGGAGGCCAAATTAAAGTTCAGTTGACTTTGAAACGCGGTTGATAACATCATCAACATGCCCACCAACGCTGGGTCGACAGCTAGAGGTAATAGAGACGGGACGAATGCTGGCATTGTTGAAGGTGGAAGGATATTGGACCAAGGCTAGCGCCTGCAGAGTACGGGAGTAATATCGTGCAGCATTTCAATTTGACCCTCCATACAAATTCGACATCACGGAAGTTTATGGAAGTTCGAAACCAGCAAACATACTTTTAAATGTAACAATAAACCTACTTTTCATAGTTCGATTCTAATGAAGCTAGAATTTAATTGTCTAAGGAAAATGAAAACAAATGTTCAATGATGTACTACTAGGTAATTTTTGAACGAATTCCAATTGTTTGTTTGTTGAATTTGTATCTAGAAGGATAGCATACAAAGGCTCAAGCGACGATTTCAAGCAAAATGCAGGCTAACAATTCACCGCAAAAGATACAGAAATGAAATGAATCAATAAATGATACATACATGGATGGTGGTTTTTGAAGCAAGAACTCGCAGCTTTTCCTGGTTTGTACTACTAATGTGAACGATGTGAAATTCAAGGAAACAGTGAAGCACGATATGATTCCGCTAAACCCTAGATTAGTAGTCACATGAGAGCAACATTAGACCATCAAGTACAAAAGAGGATGGCTTGTTGTAAGAAGAAATCGTTTCCCAAACGATTTTTTGTGACTCCAAACGATTTTTGTGAACTCAAACGTTTTTTTGTGAACTCAAACGATTTTTTGTGAACCAAACGAGTTTTGTGGAGTCAAACGATTCTTTTGAATTTGCTGGAAACCTAAACGATTTTTTCATGTCCGAATTGTGGTTTTCGACACAGTGGACGCAATCAAAAGCGCGCTAAATGGTGTGTTCGTTAAACATAACTTGGTTCACGTAAAATGTAACGTAGGATTTCTACACGCCGAAATAATGATCTGAATAATATTCAGGAACACCCGGCAAATGTTCAGACCGAGTATTTTCTTGACACTGATCGCAAAGTTTGACGTGCTCGTGCCCGGAGAAATAAAATTATGTTTTTAGCTTCGGAAAATCTATAATATTCCCCTTTAACTATTAATGACACATTATTTATGTGATAATTTATCAAACAGGGACTTAAGGACACAGA